TTTGAGGTTATGTCACAAACATCTATTTGCATCAATTGTGCTTGCTTTTGAGTTATATCATGTTTTATCAGCCTAAAATTTCCTACAATTTAAAAGGAAACATATCTTAACAATAGGAGAGCGCTGACGCTGACACGGGACGAGTGTAATCTAGAAATTTTTGAAGGAGAGAAAAGAGTATGACAATCAAGGAGGCCATAAACGCACCCTACAATTGTAGGGACGACTGACGATACGGGCCTTAGCTACAAAAGCTTGTAGTTTCACTGTTCGTAAAGCGGCCGGCATTTGGAATCCGTGGCTTTTTATTAGCATATCTTCTATTTACAGAATTTTTAATGGATAATGGCAAACTGTTATCAAATTATTGCATTGTCATTGATCCTTGATACGTATGCGAAGTTTCACATTAATCAAATTTTTGCAGATTAGTGAAAATTATGCTCAAAGATTCCGTTACATTCATACAGGCCAGGCTAATAAAAGCGTGTTGATAAAAACAAAGACAAGCATTGGCTGATTCTTTCGGAGACAACACCCCTCAAATACAAATCCCAACGTCTTTAATGTTCGAAAAGTCCACCTGCAGTATCTCACAGTTCGCAAGCTATAAAAAGCGTTAAGCTCTTGCATCAAACCAAAAACAGACTAACGAACATAAACCGAACACCCTTTTAACAAATAAATCCTCCCCCATCCTACATAAAACCAGATAGAAAATAAAAAGCTCTCACTTTTTGTGACACTGGAAGTTTCTTAGCCACCCTTCAGTAGAATGACGGAACGTTTCTGCCATGCTAATTTTTTTCCTTGCAGCCACCTGCTTTTTTACTGAAGCCATAATCGGATTGCGTATATCGTATAAGATGGCGATAAATTACGTTAGGGTGAAGAACCCTGTTCATTTTGGCCCTATTTATATAGAGTACATTGACTTTTTAAGACTCTTTGAACCAAAATTTATTTTTGCTGCTAAAAGGGAAGTTATTTGAGCTACTTAGATGTATGATAAATCTGTCGTGAGCCTCCCGTAGGGAAAAATTCAACGAAAAGGTTACGCTTACAGGCTCACTCAGCCAGTTTGAGGTTTAGTTGCTATATCGCACGCTTGCTACAAAAAAAAACTAAGTTTTTGCCAAACCGAAGAAAACTGTTTTCTACACTCTAAATATTTTTTGTAAAAATACATTCGTTCGGATAAATATACTAAGTGACATATAAATCCGAACACCCAGTTTAAATGGTTTTATTTTAATAAAATTTTGTATAAGTACTTAATGAAGCATAATAAGTAAATGATAAAAATTTCAAAATGATTGCACTGCTTTAAAGCCCTTTGACCTTTAATAATGTGTGGATGCACCCTGATGTGCTACGCATTCTCCAACGCGCCTAGGCATGCTTCTGATCAGGTGGTCTCAATGTCCTCCTGTGGTATCTCATTCCAGGCAACCACCAACTCCTCTCGAAGTGCTTCTAGAGTCTGAGGAGGACGTTGCAAATTGAGCAATCTCCTACCCATCATATCCCACAGGTGCTCAATTGGGGATAAGTCGGGAGATCTTGGTGGCCATGGTAACAATGTGACATCATTATGTTGAAAGAAGTCTATTGTGACTCTTGCAACATGTGGTCGGGCATTATCTTGATGGAAAGTTGGATCTGCCAGGGTGTCAAGACAGGGTAAAAGATGGGGTTCTAGAACTTCGTGGATATAACGCTGCGCGTTCATGTTACCTCTGATGAAGATTAAAGGTGACCTGGAACCATAAGCTATAGCACCCCAAACCATAACTCCAACAGTGTGATGAACATGTCTTTCAACAAAAAACTGTGGATTCCTCCTTTCACCACGTCGCCTTCTAACCCTGGCACGACCATCGTGCATGCCTAAACAAAATCGAGACTCGTCACTAAAGACAATTTTGTTCCATTCCTGATCCCAGAGTGACCGTTGTCTGCACCACTCAAGGCGATTACGTCGGTGTTCTCGAGAGGACCCAGTGTGGCCGGTATGAAAACAAGCCAAAACTTCTCATTCGTCGGTACACACTTCGCATGCCAATAGGTCTTCCGTGTTCTGCAAACCATTCATTTGCAATGGACCTGGTAGTGGAGAAACGGTTCCTTAAGGCCAATAATCTTAGGCGGCGATCTTCACGGTCTGTTGTTCTACTGCGGCGTCCAGTGCCCCTTGCTCTTCGCGTAAGGCCTTCTCGAAGCCATGCCTGACAACACCTAACCACAGTGTCTACACTTCTTTGCACTCTAACTGCAATTGCCCGAAAAGAAAGTTCAGCTTCCCGAAGTCCCACTATACGGCCCCTATCAAACTCACTAAGTTGACGAAATCGTACAGGTCTCCGTACTCTAGGCATCGTAACCGATCGTAAAGGATGTCAAGAACCAAAATCCGCCAACGTTGATTCTTTACTGCGGCTGAAATATTCATTTTTAGAGCGTTAGTGAATTAAAAAAAAGCAGTATAAAAACCGGAATGTCCAACTGATAAGGCTGAACATTTTTTCACTTGTTATAGTATTTACAATAAGATAAATACATTCACCAACTTTTATTAAAATAAAACCATTTAAACTGGGTGTTCGGATTTATATGTCACTTAGTATATTTCCAAAACCGACAGTTTAGTTCAGAACTGAAAAGGAGCAAAAGACTTGCGACACTTTTGTTGTTCGGTATTATTGAAAATAATAAGGAGAAGTATGAGTATTTATTCATAGTTTTTACCTGAAAATAAATCGCCAACATTATACTATACAAATATTTTTATTTTCTTACACAAATCATCAAAAACAAATTGATTTGGACCTAAATACTGAGCAGGTATTCCTGTCTTTATTCAAGGAAAACAAACACAGCATACAAAAAATCATAATAAGGAATAATGAATTGAAATATTTTTCAGTCTTCATAACTTAAAAAATTTTTGGTTTGAACTGAATCAGATCCTGAGTACATCTTTATAAAACATACATGAATTTGACCCTAAATACTGAACAGGTACTCCTATTTTTATTGAAGGAAAACAAACACAATATACAGAAAATCATAATAAGGAACAATAAGAGGCTTGCCTATAAATTAAAATAATTTTCAGTCTTCATAACTAAACAATTCCTTCACCAGGTTTGAACTGAATTAAATCCTAAGTACATTTTTATAAAAAGAGTTAGTTCTTGTAAGTGCTGTTTTTTAAGTCACTCAGGGGAAACTTAGCTAAGCTAAGCTAACCGAGTCTGCGTTATGCTCTTGGGATCTAGTGTTTTTCACATTATTCATATCGACTTTTCTGAATTCCACCTGTTCATAGAACGTTTTATAGAAGAATGAATCCGGGTATTCCTTACACACTTTAAGTATTTTAATGTCATTCCAGCTAACTTTTCCTTTTTCAGTATCTGTCGTAAAGTTTTTTCGCCACTGTTCTTCTAACGCTTTTAAATCGAATAAATTTTCAAAGGTAAGCCGGTGAACTCTGTAAGGCGAACCACTTTTTTTGCTGTTCGAATTAGTGTTTCATACTCATCAGGTACGTAAGTCGGTCCAGATTTGAGATATTTCCTAATTTGCTTATAAATAATACTGTACATTAATCCCCTTATTTTGAGAATGCCCGTTTATTAAATATTGATGAATGATACTGCGGATTGGCAGTTTGTTTATCGCGTAAGAGTAGGCAGTGACTAAATACTTATTCTTCTGCTGACGACAACAGTTATCTGAATATAATATTACATTCAAAGGTTGAGCAGTCTCACTTTCCTCAACAAGTTGGTTGAGGTAACGAAGTACGCAGCTTCCAATTTCAATCGCTGCACGTTTTCCTTCAGTCTCATTCTAAAAGTAGCAATTGACGTTTTTTTCCCTTGTAATGAAATTGTAACAATTCAGTTTAGTCTGTAGGTCATACACTGCGACGATTGAACCATTTGTATTTTTTTACCAGCTTCCTTCTCTAGACGGGACAGCTTCTTTTCTTTCATGTGGAGATTGTACTTGTCCATCAATTTTTGTTTGCCTTCATCATCTGCATTTGTATGGGAAAAGCAAAGATCGCGCTGATCTTTTTTGGGTATATAAAATGAAATGTTATATTCGCCATTGAATATACGATTAAACATCACATAATAGGCGTACGGAAGTTGTTGACTTTCCCGATCTTCTTTTTTTTACTATCAATATATTCTCGAGTAGTTTGAGCCCTCAGATAATGCGATTCAATTCGGGGTATGGCATTTATAAATTTTCTCACGATATCTTTAATTTCGGGATTCACCTGTGGTTGTTTACCATGTTTTCCTCTTTGATCAGCGATAATAAGACCCTCATCGGTTCTTTTTTGTAACGCTGTACGAATAGGACTATCTTTAATGTTGAGGGTGGCCTTAAAAAATATCTTGCGTACCCTAATGCGATTTCCGTTGAGATTGAAATAAAATGCCGAATTCATTTGTCTATAATTTTCCGTACATGAATAACGGTATTTCGGTCCCAATACCCAGAAAAAATGTTTTCTTCGTTGATTTTTTTACTGCACTGCAGTCTGCATTTTTCGCCACATGGGGGGGCTAATTTTCTTTCTGAAAACTGTTTTTTGGTTTTTGACAATGAAACGTAAGCTTTTCCCGAATTACTTAATAATTTAGTCTTTTTTAAAGACCAGCTACCAACACTCCGTTTTCTTTTCTTGCCGTTTGTAGCTTCTATCTCTGCTAAGTTTCCATTTATAACTTCTTCTGTACACTTCGTTGAACTTTTGTCACCACCGGGATGCTTGTTGATGAAATCTGGATCTGCACCCGAGTCGCTTTCTCCGCTATGTATGGGCGAGACATAATAATTTTTTGATTTTCTTTTTAAATGAACAACTGTAGGACGATCCATATTACAAGATACTGTGTAATAGTTGCTACATCCAGGCTGAGGAGTGTTGCTTGTAGCCTCTTCGAAAATGATCTCTGACCGGATAGATTCTTGAGTTACGGTCTCCATCGTGAAGTTTTCTTGAGGCTGGTAATTGGTAGTGTTACAATGTTTATCTTATAAACCAAATCGTATCTTCTAATATCACTGAAATTGTCAGAATCAGTTGGAATCTTCTCAGTTGTACATGTTTCGGCTTCAATCATCGAACTCAAAAGCAAGTCATTCAGTTGAGAACCAATTTCAGCATTAAGATCTTCATTAGGTGCTGGTATTTTATTACATTTCGTTGTTTCTGGCGGATATGTTGCTTGATATGCAGCGATACCCTGCTTAACAATAAAAGCTGTTCGACTTGAGATATCCATACCGTTGCCTACAACAAAAAAAAAACAAAGCTAGAGAGACAAAAACTTTGATGTCTTATACTACGATTGGAAACATTATTAGGTAGGTAAATCGAGTGTGTTACAATTTGGTACATTTTTGAGACAACAGGATTTATTTTAACGCCTGGGATAGGAAATGACTTAAACATGTAATACATAAATATTATGTAGTATTATGACGGAAGGGGTAAACAACAACCGTGCATAATAGTGAGAGCGACATATATAATAAGATAGATCCAGATGCCATCAACAAGAATCCCGGTGCAGTGACAAAAGTTCAACGAAAAGTAATGATGAACCTCTAAATGAAAGCGTTGCAAAGACACAAACTACAAAACGCAAAAAAAATAAATTTTGATAACTGGTCTTCGAAAAAAACGAGTTGTTAAGAAATTCTTGACAAGCTTATTTTTGTCAAAAACGAAAAAACGTCAATAAAAAGGTAAGTAAACATATTTATATAGTTTCATTTGGGCTGATAATCATGAAGTCCAACCACAGGTGAACCCCGAAGGGGGGGTAATGTCATACCCCGAATTGAATTGCACTGTCTCTAAAGGCCTAAAATATTCGGAAATATATCGATAGTGGTAAAAAGGTTATGGACCTCTATAGATATTATGAAGAAGAGCGAGAAAAGGAACTTCAGTATTCCAATTACTGTCTGTGATTTAATTCCAGATTTCCTCATTAAATAAGCCTTGAAGTACTCGCCCAGTATATATGTTTAATTTAAGGATAAGAAGTGACACATTTTCTGTGAAATACATATCAAACTACTTCCTACATATACTAAGTGACATATAAATCCGAACACCCAGTTTAAATGGTTTTATTTTAATAAAAGTTGGTGAATGTATTTATCTTACTGTAAATAACAAGCGAAAAAATTTTCAGCCTTATCAGTTGGACATTCCGGTTTTTATACTGCTTTTTTTTAATTCACTAACGCTCTAAAAATGAATATTTCAGCCGCAGTAAAGAATCAACGTTGGCGGATTTTGGTTCTTGACATCCTTTACGATCGGTTACGATGCCTAGAGTACGGAGACCTGTACGATTTCGTCAACTTAGTGAGTTTGATAGGGGCCGTATAGTGGGACTTCGGGAAGCTGGACTTTCTTTTCGGGCAATTGCAGTTAGAGTGCAAAGAAGTGTAGACACTGTGGTTAGGTGTTGTCAGGCATGGCTTCGAGAAGGCCGTACGCAAAGAGCAAGGGGCACTGGACGCCGCCGTAGAACAACAGACCATGAAGATCGCCGCCTAAGATTATTGGCCTTAAGGGACCGTTTCTCCACTACCAGGTCCATTGCAAATGAATGGTTTGCAGGACACGGAAGACCTATTGGCATGCGAAGTGTTTACCGACGAATGAGAAGTTTTGGCTTGTTTTCATGCCGGCCACACTGGGTCCTCCCTTTAACTCGAGAACACCGACGTAATCGCCTTGAGTGGTGCAGACAACGGTCACTCTGGGATCAGGAATGGAACAGTATTGTCTTTAGTGACGAGTCTCGATTTTGTTTAGGCATGCACGATGGTCGTGCCAGGGTTAGAAGGCGACGTGGTGAAAGGAGGAATCCACAGTTTTTTGTTGAAAGACATGTTCATCACACATTTGGAGTTATGGTTTGGGGTGCCATAGCTTATGGTTCCAGGTCACCTTTAATCTTCATCAGAGGTAACATGAACGCGCAGCGTTATATCCACGAAGTTCTAGAACCCCATCTTTTACCCTATCTTGACACCCTGGCAGATCCAACTTTCCAACAAGATAATGCCCGACCACATGTTGCAAGAGTCACAATAGACTTCTTTCAACATAATGATGTCACATTGTTACCACGGCCACCAAGATCTCCCGACTTATCCCCAATTGAGCACGTGTGGGATATAATGGGTAGGAGATTGCTCAATTTGCAACGTCCTCCTCAGACTCTAGAAGCACTTCGAGAGGAGTTGGTGGTTGCCTGGAATGAGATACCACAGGAGGACATTGACCACCTGATCAGAAGCATGCCTAGGCGCGTTGGAGAATGCGTAGCACATCAGGGTGCATCCACACATTATTAAAGTCAAAGGGTTTTAAAGCAGTGCAATCATTTTGAAATTTTTATCATTTACATATTATGCTTCATTAAGTACTTATACAAAATTTATTAAAATAAAACCATTTAAACTGGGTGTTCGGATTTATATGTCACTTAGTATATTTAGAATTTTCAAAAACTTGAAAGGTTTACGTAGTTAATTCGTTAGAGTTTCGTTAAATTTGTTACAACAAAAGTGACATAAATCAAAACATATTACAACAAAAGTGACCTAAAACAAATTATATTTGAACATTTGTGTTACTTTAAGCAACTAAAGCGACACAACTTTATATAAAACAAATTTTGCTACAGATTTCTAACCTCTAAACTGACTTAATTCAAAATATTAGAAGAACTATACTCACCGTTATTCATCAAAAACGACACAAATCAAAATAAGGCGGTTTGAATGCATTCACGTAACACCTTTACTGTATTGAAGACAGGGTACAACTGAAAATATCTTTGTTTAATACAAACGGAATCTGCAAAAGCGACACATATGCCACCTAGCGGTCAATGAACAAAGTTAATTTATTACTCTTTCGTTAGAAGGTAAACCATTATTTTCACCTGTGATTGCTAGTAACAACTCAAAATTCACACTTTTGGAGTTGTGTCACTTTTGTAGCAAGGGTGCGATATGTACGAGAGCAAAAGATAATTTTTATGTAGGGATGTCTTGAAAAGCAAATAACGGGTGAATTTTTAAGAGGTATAGGATTTGATTTAAAAAAAAAAACACAAAAAATTTGAAAAAACGATTAAATCTTTATTTGAGTCGATAGAACGGTCGATATAATTTAATGTTTAAAGATTATTTCATGTAAATGTTGGCCGCGGCTCCGCTTTAGATGGTCCATGCGCAAGGTCCAATTTTGGCACTCTCTCTCCAACATATCGGCCGGTATCTCACAAATAAATGCTTCAATAGTGGCTTCCAGTGCGTCCATCGTTGCTGGTTTATCCCTGTAGACATTAGCATTAACATGGCCCCACAATAAATAGTCCAACGGCGTTAAATCACACGATCTAGGCGGCCAATTGACGAGCTCCAAACGTGAGATAAACTGTTCACCGAACTCGCCTCTCAATAGGGCCATTATTTCGTGTGCGGTGTGGCATGTGGCACCGTCTTGTTGAAACCACATGTCAGCCAAGTCCAGCTCCTCCATTTTGGACAAAAAAAAGTTTGTTATCGTCGCACGGTAGCGCTCGCCATTCACAGTTACGTTCCGGCCATTGTCGTCTTTGAAGAAGTACGGCCCGATGATGCCACCGGCCCATAATCCACACCAAACAGTGATTTTTTCGGGATGCATTGGTAGCTCTTGCAATGCTTCTGGCTGGTCTTCACTCCAGATGCGGCAATTTTGCTTGTTAACGTACCCATTCAACCAGAAATGAGCGTTGTCGCTGAATACAATTTTTCGATAAAAACGTGGATCTTCCTCCAACTTTGCCAGCGCCCATTCACCAAATTAGAAACGTTGTGGGAGGTCGTGTGGCTTCAATTATTGCAGCAGCTGTATCTTATAAGGTTTTATACCCAAATCCTGTCGCAAAATTTTCCAAGTAGTGGAGTAACAGAGGCCCAATTGCTGCGAACGGCGGCGAATCGACATTTCACGGTCATCACTAACACTGGCGGATACAGCCGCAATATTTTCTTCAGTCTTCACTCTACGTCTGCGTGTTGGTGGTTTAATGTCCAATAATGTAAACTGGGTTCGAAATTTAGTCACAAGCTTCCGAATAGCTCCCTCAGTAGACCGACCAAATTGCCCATACATTGGAAGCAATGTTCGTTCGTAAGTCGATTCATGGCTAAATTATAGACCAAACTGAACAAGTTTGACAATGACACAAGACACGATTCGCGCGTCATCTGTCAAAAACATACTAGCAAAAAAATCACCCATTAGTATACACGCCGCAAGAAACAGGTGCCCTGTTAATAATGTGATACTTCTCAAAAGAAATACAGTGGGGTGATATGATACCTTTGCCTCACCTCTAACAAGCGACCATGAAAGCTGCTCATAAACTGTAGATGCTCTCTGGAGAGAGGGAACCTCTGCCAGTAATAATGTACATTAAAAGCTCCCCATAATGCTTTTTGTTGATAACTAATATTTTCTCTAGTTTCAAAAAATTCACACTTCGGGCAGGAAGCGCCGGCAGGGTAATACTGTCGAGTTTTTCTGTCTAAGAGTGGCTATAAAGGCTTTCCCCACTCAAAAAAATACAAGTCGGCACACCAGCGACCCGTACTGCAGAAAAACGAAAGGACATTATATTCACTGAATCAAACCAGTTACGTCACAGCGTTAAATAATGACAGTGACGCACGTTGTTGCCTCATTACTTAAAACTACTGGATCCTAGGAAATAAACCACAGTCGTTGGCGTAATTAGGTACCTGACAATATCACAACACAGAAAACTGTTACCAACCTAAATGTACCCGGGAAATTAAAACTATACGTACCAGTTTAGGATCTATTTTGCTTTAAGGCTGGCATTCAAATTTACTAAATATGATGTGACTGCTTTGTGTCAGTGAAAGGACTATATGTCGATGAATGCAAACTGAACATAAGCACCACTCTACTGCTAATGTACTACACTTTAGAGGTGGCCGCGTTCTTCGAAAATCAGGGGATGCATGTTAAATAAAAACAATTTATCCAGAATACAAATACATTTTATTATCATAATTATATATTTCACTAGATATAATATCGCTATATATGTATATTTACGGGTGTATGATAAAATAAATTGTAAGTATTATAATGGTATAGCAACATTTATTATATGTAATTTATAGTTAATGTAGAAAGATAATATTAAGTAGAGAATATATATTTTTCCGAAAAACGTGTACTCGTACAAAATACTGACTGCATAACATTTATATTATGTATATGCTACGTATATATTTTATAGTTATTAAAATATATATTGGGATAGATTAACATGATCAGGAAAATCATTACATTCACTTTTAATTCTTATTATACATCCTCACAATAACAATCAATATACAACGTCGTCCCCCAAAATTTACAGATTTTATCAGTCCGACTTTCAAAAGCTACCGTTATTGAACTCAATAATGTAAAATCTGAAGAAATAATCATTACTCGTTCTTCCAGTTTTTTTTGCGAACGAACTTTATTTTGGATTTGTTGTTTTTCTGAGTCATATGTGTTTATTCCATATGTTAGGCAGAAACCCTAAATGAGTTGAACTGTTAGTCAAGGAGGTATCTTCGCAAGTATTCTGGTTCATTTTTTACATAATATTACTTAAAAGCAACCCCTTTTAGCAAATATGCATGTTGATAGGGCCAAAATTGTGTCAAAAATTGTTTAAGCAAATTTCAAAAATCGTATTTCTTTCTTTAGGTTTTCTGGGTCATTCTGAACAAAAAAGGTACAGATGACTTTTTTATAATGTTGAATAGTTTTCGAAATAAGTGATTTATCATTTTAAAAAATGCAAAGTATGCTTTCTATGTTCGGCCACGCAAAACAGTAAATGAAGAAACTTAACATTTTGATGTTGCCTAAGATTCTGAATATTCACCAAACATCTGTTAAAATCTCACAGCATTTTAATGTGTAAACCTTTGTTCTATAATTGTAAATCCTGCGTTCATATTTTGGTCTTTTTAAGTATTAAATCCCTTATCTCGAAAAACATCGATTTTAGAAAAAGAAGCATAAGAATATTATTCTGCTCAGAATGAAAAACCCAAAAAAATTCTAGAGCTAAAAATAGTTTTTTTTGGAATTTGATTGAAACATTCCTTATATAATGTTTGACGTAATTTTGGGCCTGGGCGACATGCAGATACGTTAAAAGATACGTCCATTATGAATAAGATTATTCCAAAAACCGAATCACAATATTTTTCGGAGAGGATACAATAATTATCAGAAATGAATGGTTTGTAATTCTTTCATAGTAAATCATGAAAAATTCTAGAATGTAAAAACTATTCTTTTAATATCGGTAGCTTAGTACTACAGCATTATGGACTATGACGGGGACAACTCTTAGTACTACATACATACTGTGAACATATATAAAATATTTCACATCGAGAACACGTTCAGTGGAACCCTTAATATTATTAAAAATAAAGGTTAATTAAAAAATATCTTCTGCAAAAATATCTATTTTCAAGTATACTTTAAGCAATTTTCCTTTAATAAGTAAACACTAAAGGCCATAATTAGTGCTGTATCCCAGATTAAGATACATCAGCCGACTTTTTTCTTTTAAATAAATGACGCAATTAGTACAAATTTTTGCATTCCGGTTAATCTGAAATACAGAAAAATGGACACTAATAAAGAATTTTATAATACTCTCAAAATTTGTTTTTCAGATTATCTTGACGCACGATAAAATATCATTTATTAAGAAAATATATTAATTTGTCAGGCTGCTATTGAATATAAAAAGAGTATTATTGAATGTTAAGCATATGGTGCGCATTACAAGACACAATCCAACTAGTACTACGTGGTACTCCGTTAAAAACAAACACTCAAAACATAGTACATATTTTCAGACCACAAGCCAAATAAAAAAGTTTCTTTTTCGATATCTGAAGTTTGACTAATTTCAATAGTCTTTCTCTAACAGTTGAATGGTGGGATGTCGATATGCATTTCGGACACACTGTATACCGGATGTTTCAAATTCGACTAGAGTCATAGAGGCCGCGGAAATGGATAAATGGGTTCAAAATTTCGCATTCAATTAACTAATATAATTGCACTTAGAAAGTTTCGCAATTCCGAATATGCCCGGACATTTGCGAATGAAACCGAATTTACCTAAAATAGCTTTTATTTTTTTCCTGGCTTTATTTGAGATTGGGTTTCAAAATAAAAAGTTGCTGCTTTTTCTCCACAATCAACCCTATTTTTTGTTATAGACGAAATATTGCATGTTGGCATAGTTGAAAATAATTTTTAATTCTGATTCTAAAAATGTACAATATGTCATATTTTCATATTGCCAAATCTAAGTAATTTAAAGAATACAATTTTCTAAGTAGACCTTGATGCTATCATATAGCCATTTGTTTCATAATACTGTCAGCCAAGCGTTTCTTCAATACATATTTCTTACATATAATGAGATGGATTAATATTTTGAAACTTTAAATGCCTAAAATGTTGCTATAGTTGATCTTAACTTGCCGAATAAAGAACAACCTAATGCTAAAACTTTTATATATTATTTAACGGTCATATTGAAAACATTGAAAATAGTATCATGTAACTGATGGAAACATTTGGAGTTAATAAAAGCCTCGACGATGTAGCAGCTCCATATCATATTTTGTATCTGCCATATCTAAACCAAATACTATTAATACCAGTTATCTGGATGTGCTTTAAACGCGCTT